CGGGGGGGGGCCGGGGGTGCCCGGGTGCCCGGGCGTGCCCGGGGGTGCCCAGGGGTGCCCCGGGGTGCCCTGTAGCCCTATAGCCCAATAGCCCTACAACTCTATAGCCCTAAAGCTCTATAGCCCTATAGCTCAATAGCCCTGTAGCCCCCTAGCCCTGTGGCCCTGATTGGGTTTTTTCTCCGGTATCATTATGCGTAAGACATGTTTGAAACTTGCTTTCGACATCTGACAATGATTCGGCAACATGTTTCCTCTCCATTGATCGTCGTCCACAACGCTCCAAACATAGGATTCCAGAACTCTGGGGGGCCAGATCTTTAAACACATCGCGGCGTCGGTGGTCTGGATCGGGAGAGCGGCAACAGGGAGGACGCGGGGGGCAAGCTGCATTCGGTGATCGGGGCACCCCTGTGGGCCAGCACTCAAGGACTCTTCAGCGAAGGTGACTACCAACCAGACCACCCCAACCCAACCGAAGATCTGAATTTAGGGTTGAGGGGGGTACGCTTCATATGTGTTTCCATGATCCCCGACCCCCCCACACTGGAAATGGAGGGCAAATCGGGGCCTTCGGGTTGGGTTGGGGTGGTCTGGTGGGCGGTGAGAAGGGTGCACTCTTACGTGAACGCAGCCAGGCACCCTCTGGGCTCGACCTGCTCCTCCGACGACGCAATCCTGTCGCGACTCGGGCCCTGCGGAGGCTCTTCCATGGGCTGGCTGATCCTTCCTGGACATGCTCATGCCGACAGCCCTAGAGCCAGAAACAGCGGCCCCCAGAGGGCGGAGACATGGGAACACACACACACACACACACACACAGGCCGCCACGGTTTTCGTTTCTGCGGCGCCCAGAGCTGAGGGGATGCGGGGCCACGAAGGGGTGACCAACTTCGGCTGTGGACAAACCTCCCTTTAGTAAACCTCCACTTAGTGAACACGGCCTGGGACCGAAACCGACGGAACTGGACCCGCAGAAAGGGCGGCCGCGAGGCCCCCTCGCGAACCGAAGACGGCCAATTCCTCAATCGACGTGTCAGGGTAGGAGGTCTGTCCACCCCCGACATTCGGGAGCGGCCAAGAGGGGGGTGTCCAAGAGGGGGGGGTGCAAATCATGACCGGCGGCATGTGCGCGGCCCAGCGGGGGGGCCAGGGACGCAATGAAACAAGAAGGGGCGCCATGAAATCTGGGGAGATATCATGGCCCCCGCCATGATATCCACCCCCCCTAGTCATGACCCCCCTCTTTTCCACCCCTGGAACTCATGGGGGAGAACCTCGGGCCGGAAGCGGCGATGCCTCGCCGAGAGATCGGCAGCAGGCCTCCGAGATGACGACTCCGCAGACTCCTGGACGGGGGGGGGGGCTGCCGAGCAGCCATCGGCAAAGGATTGGCGATTTCGGGGGTCGGTGAAGCCGGCCATCCGCGGCCGCTCGGGACGATCCGGGGCATCCCTGGATAGGGGGCCGCATGCGAACCCTACTTCAGTAGTGGAAACAATCGGTTTTCAAAATGTTTGGTCTTTAGAAGCTCTGCGTGGCGACGCCCCCGTCGCCACGCGTGCCCTCTGCGTGCCTGCGGGGGCGCCGCCACGTAGAAGTACTGGAGACCGAGCATTTGGGGCGTCGCTACGCACGCCCTCTGCGTGGCTGCGACCATTTGTTAAAACCCTCAAACCAATTAAATTCACGAATAAAGTACCCCTGCCCCCCACGATTTCTGAGGGGGAGGGTGGGGTTCACCTTGATCGGGAGCTCCCCAGCGAAGCGAGCCCCACCCTCTCCCTCAGAAATCTTGGGGGTTAGGGGTTAGGGGTAGGGTTCGCGTGTGGCCCCCGACGGGAACGTCCGGAGGCAACTATTGGGAGGTCTTTGTCGGAAGGATTGAGGAATGAGGAGTAAACCCCATCGGAGGGCTGCTACGCCGGACCAAGCCACGGATTCAGCGAGGGCAGGCCAAGTGAAGCAAGGCTATAGGCCCGATGAAACAGGGTGTTACGCCGGGCTTCGGACTCCGGCAGAGTCAGACTTTGACCTCCCAGGAGCTGCATCAGAAGGAGCGCTCGCGACGACGCGCAGCCGCTGGAACGCGCCTTTGGTTGGCCCACAAGAGGGGGTCCAGCTGAAAGAGGGGGGTGCAATAGGTTTGAGGCAATTGTGTTGCAAATGATCGGCGCCAGAGAACTGTATTGCATTGTGTTGCCACTAACGTGCTGAACGCGAGAGCCCAGCAATGCATTTGCGCACGAAAGACGTACCGCACGCCCCAAATCGATTGCAGCCCACAAATTTATCGCACCAAATCTGTTGCGCCACGCCCTTGTCGCTGGACCCCTTCTTTGGTCGGGGGCGCGCAAACATGGATTAGCGATCCACGGATTTGCCGCGCGGTCGACTAATCCACGGCTCGGGGGAGGTACCCTCCCCAAGATGCGGCCAGCGCCGCCGCGCTCTGCGGCGGAAATCTGTGATTTCCCATAGAAAACGGGACCCGTCGCTAATCCACGCCCCCTTGATCCATGCTTGCGATCGCATGATCTTGGGGTCCATCTTGTAGTACATCGTTTCCCGAGCGGCGTGGCCAGAAAGCGCCCGCCACGACGCATGTACTATAGGATTGCTCAGTGCGCGCGTCGCCCCTGGGGGGGCGACGCACACATAGCAGCAGTAGGTTGGGGTAACGTCGACTTGGGAAACAACTCCTGGGAGGTCAAATTATGATTTTGCACTGGTCCGAAGTCCGGCTTGAACCGGCTCAACTCCGACTAATCCCGCCTAATTCGGCCGAATCCCGCTTCATCCGAGGCCCACTCCGGCGTAAGAGCTCCCAAATGGGGCTTGATCCTCCTTCACCTTTCCGACGAAAGCCTCCCAGTAATTGCCTCCCTGGACCCCCTCTTTGGGTCCACCAAAACTTTGTAGGCCCCGGAAACGGCAGGGCCGTTTTCACCGTTTCAAAAAAATGTCCCTTGAAAATGGAAACGGCAAAACAACGGCGACCGGAAACGGCAAAAAAACGGCTCCAGGATTGGAACCGGAGCCGGAACCAAACAAAACACGGCGACGGAACTGGCAAAACGGCGTCGGAACCGGCGACACAAACGGCAAAACGGAACGGGCAAAACAAATTGCCCTGTCGCTTCCAGGGCCGACGAAGCCCTGGGCTCCCTGCCAGAGCGCGAGGCGGCGGGGGGGAGGGCTCCCCTGACCTTCCAGAGTGCTAAAAGATAGCACTCCAGACCTATAGATCTCTCTGGACTGCCTCAAACCTCGACAGGAATTAGGACGTCGACGTCCTGGTGCTATCTGTTAGCCCTGCTGGAAGGTCAGGGCTCCCCGGGCCCCCTCTTTGGGTCCACCGGAGCACCCCGAGGCCGAGCACCGCTCGGAGAGGTCCTGCGAGAGTGAAGGGGCCCCAGGACACACAAATAAATACACACAAATAAAAATGTTCCCCATATTTCCCAATATTTTCTGGGTTCTTGTCTTCCCGCCCAATTCCTATATTTTCCCATATTTTCTGGGGGATCGCCGATGAATTGTGTCTGTGTGTGTTTTCCCCTCCCGAATTGGGACGTCGACGTCCTGGTGCTATTTTCTAGCCCTCCTGGCAGGTCAGGGCTCCCTATGGACCCCCTCGTTGGGTCCACCGGAGCACCCCGAGGCCGAGCACCACCGCTCGGAGAGAGCCTGCGAGAGGGGCTGCGAGAGGGGCCCGCCGCCCCCTTCGGGGAATGCAGGCCCGGGACTCTAGCAGGGGGCCCAGGGGCGCACGGAGAAACTGGACGGGGCCCCGGGACACACAAATAGATGGACACAGATCACAGGATTCCGCGTACCTCTCCCGTGGCTTCTCGGTCTTCGTCTTCCCCTCCACTTGCCATATTTTCGTATATTTTCTGGGGAGTCGCCGATTCATCGTGTCTGTGTGTGTGTGTGTGTGTTTCCCTCCTGGCAGGGCACGGGGGCCCCAGGCTCCCCCGCACAGCCTCTCGCGAAGGCATTCTGGGAGGCCTCGCGCGGCCGCTTGAGGCCCGATGTGCCTCGGGCCCGCGCCGGATTTGCGTCGGGTGCACCCCGGACTACGCTCAAGTCGGGCCTGTCCCCCTACAGGGGGATTCTCGGCGAAAAATAATAATAATAAAAAAAAAACCTGAAAATAATCAAACACACAGTTCGAAAATCATCGGGGGACTATTTTTTTTGAGCATTTTCAAGATGTTCTTCATTTTTTGCTCAAGATCCCCCTGTAGGGGACAGGCCCGACATAACCCGATGTGCATCGGACCCACGCCAGATTTACGTCGGGCTCACCCTGGACTACGCCGGGATTCGGCGGTGGACAAACCTCCCTTTAGTAAACCTCCCCTTAGTGAAAACGGCCTGGGACCGAAACCGACGGACCTGGACCCGCAAAAACGACGGCCGCGACGCCCTCTCGCGAACCGAAAACGGCCAATTCTTCAATCGACGTGTCAGGGTACGAGGTCTGTCCACCCCCGAGGGATGGCGTCGGATTTACGTAGCACTGACGCCGAAGCATCCCCGCACGAGCGTCGACCCGCAGCTTACGGAGCTGACGTATGGCCTAGATCGTACAACTGCTACGCTCCGCCGAGGCCTCCGGGGCTTTCCTCGCAGTGTCTCCTGCTCTCTTGATCCCCGCTCTCCCCCCCTCGCTTCCCAGAATTGCCCCGGTTTTCTGGGGGGGTCGACGATGACTCGTGCCTGTGTTGAGCAGAGACCGACCGTCCCAGCAGTCCTGTAGTCCTACCACGGAATGCTCTTAGAACTCAAAAAAAACTGAAACAACAAAAAACAATGTTCTTAGAACATCAGCCCGATGTGTTAAAACAAGACAATCTCAACCATACATGTTCTAAGACCATGTCGTGGAAACCACAAAAGTTTCTTCTTAGAACATTGTTTGGTAGGGATATAAGGAAACCAGGACGCTTCGCCACTGCTTGACTGTGTGTGTTTTTGGTTCCCTCCCGAGCCTTCTTCTTCTTTTTCTGTTTCTTCTTTTTCTTCTTCGTCGCCGCGGCTGCGGCGTCGCGCGTCAGGGTGATGATCCCCCTGGCCATGTCGACGCTCTCGATGGCGAGGCCCCCAGTCAGCTCGAGCGTCACGGACCCGCCCTGCTCGGGCAAACCAGGAGCTACCGCTACCGCCAATCCCGTGGACCCTCCAGAGTGCTAAAAAGGAACACTCGAGACCCATAGATCTCACTGGAAAACCTCACGACAGGAGTTAAGACGTCGACATCCTGGTGCTATCTTTAAGCCCTCCTGGCAGGTCAGGCAAACTGGACCATCTGGACCTCTAGAGGCCTCCTCCTGGATGGGGTCGGAGCAGATGGGGTCAGAGGATCTCGCCGCATCGCCGATGCATCGGCGATGCATCGCCGACGATGTATCGGCGATGCACCGGCGATGCATCGATGACGTCGGCGATGCATCGGCGCCGTCGGCGCGGTGAATCAGACTCCACATCGGGCCGCATCGCCGATGCATCGGCGATTCGGCGCGATCCTCCGACCCCAGCTTGAGTCGAACTCGAGCCGAACTGGGGTCGAACTAGAACCGAACCGATCCGTCAGGTGGGCCCCTAGAAGGTCCCCAAAACGAACGTGTGACGATACCGCTACTCCCTGGACCATCTAGACATCTCCCCGGGTTCGAATCGTATCGGGGATGGACAGACCCCCCTTTAGTAAAACGTGGCTTCGTGAACACGACCGGAGGCCCAAACCTGGCGGGCGCAGGCCTGGAAAACAGCGGCCACGGCGCCCTCTCGAGAGCCGAGAATGGACAATTCACTGATCGACGTGTCACTGTTGGGGGTTCCGTCCACCCCCGATGTATGTTTATGCCACTTTTTGGCCCCCTAATGATACCACCCCCTCTACCCTGACCTTCCAGGAGGGCTAAAAAATAGCACCAGGACGTCGACGTCCTAATTCCTGTCGAGGTTTGAGGCAGTCCAGATAGATCTATAGGTCTGGAGTGCTATCTTTTAGCACTCTGGGGTTCCGTCCACCCCCGAATCTAGACATCTCCCCGGGTTCGAATCGGACAAGGGCTCGGGGCGCAGACCCCGCGGCGGCGACCGGGGCCTCCCCGGGGCGGCCGCGCACGGCATGCATAGGGGGAGCACGGGCCGAGGGTGTAAAAAAGCGGCGTGGGCACCTTCTCTCTTCCCCGGGCTGCCGCGGGCGGGGCGGGGCAGCTGGGGCCGGAGCAGGAGGAGGAGGAGGAGGAGGAGGAGGAGGATAGGAGGAGGAGGAGGAGGAGGAGGAGGAGGAGGAGGAGGAGGAGGAGGAGGAGGAGGAGGAGGAGGAGGGGGTCGGAGCAGATGGGCCGAGGGTGCAAAAGCGGTGTGGGCACCTTCTCCTCCCCTGGCTGCCGGGGCGGGGCGGAACAGATGGGGCCGGAGCAGATGGGGTCGGAGGATCTCGCCGCATCTTGGCGGCGCGCAGAAGGGGGAGGGGGGAGGGCTTCTCAGAAGCACCCTGCTTCTCAGAAGGCCTCGGCCTCACGTCTATAGAGAAGGCCCGCGCCTCCTAAGAAGCAGGGGTGCTTCTAAGAAGCCTTCCCCCCCTCCCCCTACCCCCCTCTGCGCGTTGCCGAGCATCACCGATGCACCGGCGATGCACCAGTGATGCATCGGCGATGCACCAGCGATGCATCGGTGACGTCGGCGACGCCGGCGTGGAAGAACTTGGGCCCCACAGCGGGCCGCATCCCAAGAGATCCCATGTGTCTTTCAGGAGGGAAAGAAACACACAGACACAATTAATCCTCCATTCCCCAGAAAATATGGGAAAATATGGGAAGTGGTGGGGAAGACAAAAACCCAGAAAATATGAGAAAATATGGGGGATATTCTTATTTGTGTGTATTTATTTGTGTGTCGTGGGGCCCCTTCAGTCTTGTGACTTTCTCGATGTGGCGTCCCTCGAAGCCTCGACCCTTTCAGATGATCCTCGGAGCGTGCGTCGGCCCCAACGCGTGCCCGTCCCTCGAGGCCCCTCGACACGGCCCACGCGATGCAGCGACTCTGAATGGGGCCCCACGACACACAGACAAATACACACAAATGAGAATATCCCCCATATTTTCTCATATTTTCTGGGTTTTTGTCTTCCCCAGCACTTCCCATATTTTCCCATATGTTCTGGGGAATGGAAGATTAATTGTGTCTGTGTGTTTCTTTCCCTCCTGAGATTCACTGATTGGGCTGACCACCCGCTGCAGCGTGTGGAGTCTTGCCCGCCGCGAGGGCGGCGGCGCAGACGGGGCGCGGAGGCCCCCAGAAGCGTCCACGAGAAGAGGCCCCCCAAGGATGCCTCCAAGCGAACGCTGGTCTACTTCAGTAGTGGAAACAATTGGTTTTCAAAATGTTTGGTCTTTAGAAGCTCTGCGTGCCTGCGGGGGCGCCGCCACGTAGAAGTACTGGAGACCGAGCATTTGGGGCGTCGCTACGCACGCCCTCTGCGTGGCTGCGACCATTTATTAAAACCCTCAAACCAATTAAATTCACTAATGAAGTATTCTTCGTTCTGCCCAGTCGGCGCGGCCCTCGCTGCAGGGGGGGAAGACACACTGGGCCAGCACACGTCCTGAGGATCATCGACCTCTCCCGCCGGCCCTGGACTTGTCATCCCCCGGATCCTTCCCTGAGACGGAAGCCCGGCGCCCGGCGAGGGGCCGCCGCCCCCACGGACAGAGGCGGGGAACGAGGAACAAACCGCCTTTTTGTCAATGCGTTGGACCTGTGGGTCGCCGATGCATCACCGATGTATGAGAAGGGGCCCTGGGACACACAAATAAATACACACAAATAAAAGGATTCCCTATATTTTCCCATATTTTCTGGGTTTCTGTCTTCCGCCCCGCTTCCCATATTTTCCCATATTGTCTGGGGAATCGAGGATTAATTATGTCTGTGTTTTTTCCTCTCCTGAGTATCGTCGATGCAGGCCGATGCGGCCCTCGGGAAAGGGTCGAGGCCTCCAGGGACGCCGTATTCAGAAAGTCAAGACATCGGATCTCTGGGGATGCGACTCGATGAGGGGTCGGGGACCTACTCACCCGGGCCAATCCAGACCAAGGTCAGTCAGGCCTTGCAAAATCCTGCAAGATCCTGCACCCAAACCCGGGTCAATGCGAAGGATCCTGCAAGATCCTGCACCCAAAACCTGGTCAATGCGCCCCTGGCCCTGCAGGATCCTGCAAGATCTGGCGCTCTGGCTGACCCCCGTCTGCATTGACCCCCGTCTCAAGTCTCAAGGCTCCCGAAGGAGTCCAATTTCTTCCACGCCGGCGTCGCCGATGCATCGTCGATGCATCACCGATGCATCGCCGATGCGGGTCGATTCTCCGACCCCATCTGTCCTGATCTTCCGGGAAGGCTAAAAAGATGGCACAAGGACGTCGACGTCCAAACTCCCGTCGAGGTTCGAGGCTGGCCAGATCGGTCTACAGTGCGAGCGCGGCCGCAAGAAACCCTCGCAAGAAACCAAACCCTGAGAACCCGTGCGCGAGGTGCACCCGGGGGGAAACCCAGAGCACCCTGAACGCAGCAGCTCCTTCAACGGCTGCGGGAAGTCACAGCGCAGCGCGAGGAGCGAAGAAACCCATGATACCCTGACGAAAAACACATGGTTTCTCGAGGCGCGCCCCCACTGCACAGGTATGGAGTGTCATGTGTCTAGCACTCTGGAAGGTCGGGGCACTCCTCGCCATCGCTTGGACGTCCATTCCCTGTGTTTTTTGTCGGTCTCGTGCGTGGTTGTTTCGCCAAGTGGTCCAGGACGCTCCTCGATGGTCCTCGCCGAGGAAACAACGCACACGCCCGAGCGATGCCAAGACTCGGACTCCAAGTGGGAGGCCCGGGCCCTGGATGCCGGGGAGGGGGCGGGGTGCAGGGGCGGGGCGCTCGGGCCCTGACCTCCCAGGGAGCGAAACGGGCGCACCCCGGACCTGTGAAGGAACGAGGGAACGGCGACACCAGCACCAACAGGGCGAGGACATGCGAGGAGCAAGGGGGGGCCTCTCTGGCGGTGTGGTCCCCCCCTCTCGCTCGAGACACCCCCGGCCTCCAGCTCGGGGAGGCATCGTGGACCTCCTCGATGGAGGTGGGCCCCCTGGTGATGCTGGTGCCGCACCTCCCTCCTCCGACGATGGAGACCTGTCCGGACTTCGGGGGCGGCAAAGAGGGGGGTGTCCAAGAGGGGGGGGTGCAAATCATGACCGGCGGCATGTGCGCGGCCCTGCGGGGGGGCCAGGGACGTAATGAAATAAGAAGAGGCGCCATGAAATCTGGGGAAATATCATGGCCCCCGCCATGATATCCCCCCCCCCCTAGTCATCACCCCCCTCTTTTCCGCCCCCGATATGGAGACCTGTCTGGACTGCTTCCCAACCCCGACAAGAATCTGGACGTCGGCGTCCTGGCTCCTCCTCCGTGCCAGCCCTCCCGCAGCTCTGGCAGCGGGGGGGGAAAGGCCCTGGCCGAGACAACGGCGGCCGCTCTCCTGAGGTCCGACGCTGCAGAACATTTGCAACATTGAGAAAAAATCATGCCCAGAGCCCCAGACCCCATCTTTGAGTCTGATTTTTTCGGATTCAGGCAAGTTTACTTGCATGGCGTTCGCCCCCCCTCCCCCCCCCCCTCGCCCCTCTTCAAGCGAATACTAGTGTGCATGTGCCTTTCGACTTGCGTGATTTCCGCGCCCCCCCCCGAACGTGCAAGTCGTTTGCGGCTTGCTTCAGGCTCAGCAGCCCCACCCCCCCGTCCATGCAAGTAAACTTGCAAGAGTCTAAAAAAACACAGGCTCTTTCTGCTTCATCTTTCGAGCCGGATCGTTCTATGAGGGTCGCAGAGCCCGAACTGGAGCGACGACGGCCGTCGTCAAAAAGTTGCAACGCCAGGATCTCTCCGGGCTCCCCAGACCCCCGACGTTGTGATTGTTTCCCAACGTCGACCCCCAGAAGTCTGATCGGGGATCTTCTGACCCGTGTCAATCCAGACCCAGGTCAGCAGGAAACCAAAAAACTGCAATGCAAGACAAAAAAAACTGCAACGCAGGTCCTCGCAAACCCGGGTCAGCCAATAATATGCGCGGCCGCCTCGC